GATCCTCATGCAGGAGGGAGCCCAGGAGCCTGTTGATGCTGACCCTACTGACCCGGCGCCTGCCCAAGGCAAGCCCCGGTGCATAACCCATATTTTTATGATCACTGAATATATATATGTGATGTGCATTTAAGTTACAGGCATTTTATGGAAACTACCTGTATAAATATATCTACCCATGAGTCCTACTAGTACAGGTCGAGTAGCTGCTATGCTCAGGATATCGGTAGCGTGAGTAACCTGCCGTTACTCGCACATAGGTGATGAAATATGATCACTCATGATAAAATGATGAAAAGGTAAATGGTGACCGGGTAGGGATTTGATTTGGGTATTGGTGGGTGTAAAGGGTTGTGTCCTGCGGCCAATAGGGCATAAGTCGGTTACACTTTTTCCCTGTTTGTGTCGATTAAGGACCGATCGTTGCATAAGGCATCGTGGGCAAGTCACAGATTTATTGTCCCGAGCGCATACTTGGGTATGGGCGCAGGGAAGACTTGTTGCTCTCTTGTCGCGGATCCGACTCTTTCTGGACCGACTGATGGGAAGAGGAGGTGGTGGAGGTCCTTGCACCACACTGAGTCCGAGACTCAGGAGTGGGGGCTTGGAGTCCAAGTTTGGACGGGGACCTGGACACCCGAGACAGGAGAGTGATGGGTTAGTCCTGCTTGTGCGTGGAATACAAGTGGGGCGTGTTTTTAGGGCACCCAGCTGGGCACATTGATTCGCAAATCGCCGGGCGATCCGGTACGGCTTGTCTCGTGTTTAGCACCATAGTAAGAACTGAAAGTGGAAAGGAGAAGAAACAGAATTGATTGCTCAACTCCTGCTTGAAAGTAGAACAGGTGCTTATATAGACTGGCTAGATGATAACTTAATATGGCTGATAATAATAATAATACATAAATAAGGACTCACTATTAGTATTACTTTATGCTAAAGAAAATCAGCAAGCCATAAAGCTTATCATATTCCTTGGAGTCGGGAAATTATTCCCACTAGTCGGATAAGTCTTGTGAGTACATTGTGTACTCAGGGTTTATTTACCCCTAATGCAGGTGATGCTTGAAGAGTACCTTTGTGTGGAGGAATCCTTCTGGTGGGCTCAGACGGAATCCTCGCCCCTTTACCGCTAGATGTTATTTTTAAATTCCGCTGTTATCATTCCGTACTCTGGTATTTGGTATTGTAATAATGTACTTTTTAAGAAACTCTAATATATGAAATGGACTTGTGTTGTAACTCGTTCTCATTATTGAATCCTTGGGAAAAATATGGATCTTTCGGGTTCTCCCTCGGGGTGTGCCCGACGGATACTGCCCGTTGTAGCTTGCTTTCGGGGTGCTTAGTGTCTGGTGGAAGACGAGCGCCTCCGTAAGTACGCTATTTCGGGCGGTTCTGCCACAGTGAGATGCATGCTCAAACCGTGCACTCAGTCGTGTTTTATTGTCTTTGTTGTTGGTCCAGTATGAGATGGCATCTTGTTTGGTTGCATGCATGGATGTGAGTTTTGAGTGTATGACACATGGGTCCTGGGCCATGCGTCGCACCACACCATCCCGGCTCACATGGGAAGCTCGATTTCTGCGTACGCTGTGAGCCTGCATGAGGGGCCTCAAATGCATGGTCCGATGCATCGATTTCGTTTGGCACAGGGAACCAAACACAGAGACAGTGCATCACATGGTGCCGGATGGCGCTTTGGACGGCTCCATCAGGGCTACCTATCACGCCCATCGCTGCGAGTTCGGTGACACCAAACGCTACTACCTCAGCATCCTCGCTGCGGTTCTTATATACTAGCTTGTTGTCATGACTCCGCGTACTCTAAGAAGGCGGCGACGTAAGCTGGCTTGGAAGGCGAGATGTTTAGCGTCCGACAACAAGGAAGGGGACAGTGGCTGACGTGTTGACCGGGTACCAGGCTATGGTGAAAGACGAGTGGGCCTAGGCCAGAGTCGGCACTGCGCCGCTGAAACGGTGTGTAACAGAACCAATGAACAGTTATTCCAAAACTCTAAACCTTGAGTTCTGGTGGGCCAGCCGCACTGAACTTCCCCAAATTCCTCCCAAGTTCATACTAAATCCTACCTAGTTCTTGCTTAGTCTACACCAAATTCCACTCAACTACCTTAGTCTGTCACAATTAGTACTCAGAACAGGCTATTCTCGGCCAAAAATTTTCCCTGTCATGGTGATTCGCTCTGGCGCCAAGAAGCAGACAAAGGTTGAAATTCTCATGACGGCGAATGCGAAAGCTAGCGCCAAGTAGTTCCAGGGCATTGAGTCGTCGATGGGAGTTTGCATCCCTATCTTATTTAAGCTTCCACATTTAATTTGTGTACCTAGTTTGTGTGCTTACATTTCTTGCTTAGCTTGCTATCCTAGTTGATAGGATTGGAACCTAGGTTGCATAACTTTTTTGCAGTACAAATAGCAACCACCTAGCAAAACATTTATCTGAAAATATAAAATATATTGATTTATGTAAATTAACATGCATGATAATATGCCATAGATATCAAAATAATCAGTACATAAATCATTAATATTAATATTTTTATTATGAATGGTATAACATTAACTTGTACTACATAAATGATGTACTAATAAAGAACATGTTTTAGTCTCCGTACAACTTTAGATATTCGTTGCCAAAAGTAGAAAATGTTTTACTTAGGACATCTAATGGACTTTGAAAATTTATATTAGAAAAATATTTATCTAATATAATTCTATTAATGTGACATCTAAATTTCAAGTTTCAACTATCATGAATGTTCAGTTTTTAACTTTTAGTTTTAAAACCATTAGTTGACGTGTCAAAACCGTTCCTCAAAAATGTCACGTGGGATGAAAACAAGGGGGAATTAATATAGGATTGTATTTCGTCCAGTTTCAATATATAGTTAGCAAATGCCTGGTTTTATATTGAAAATTGGACTACTGTGATAGTTGAAGATTAAAAAATAAACTTTAACATCAACACTACGTGGTGAGCAAAGGGATTGTGTACCTTGAATCAGGTAGCACGTTCGGTCCCGTGCACAACGTTTTCACTAGAAACTCTAAAGAAAATACGAGTGTTGTGTTAACTGCAACAAAATAGATGGCGGACTTGTTTGGCTACACTCGTATTCACTTCAATTATATTACACCTCAATACATTTTAACACATATGGATTGAGGCTGACATGAAAACCATGTGAAATGCTTAAATGTGTGCTTAATGGAATCCAAAATCTTACAAAAAAAACATCCGGAGTCAAGATTCTTTCAGAAGATGTTTCAAACGATAAATTAGATTCGTTTTATGGGGCCATTTAGATAATAGACTAGATTGTGATTCACAAGAAAAAACATTTTCTTAAAAAACATATAAGTAAAAATATGTTAATTTTTTAAACTTTTTTAGTGTACGATGAGCAAATTAAATATAATTCATTATAATAACTTGTTGCACTAAAAAAGAATTATATAACTGAAAAATATAATGGCTAGCACGAAATGAAGGCAAATAAATAAATAATAAAATCCAAAGCGAAGCAATTTCCAAGCGCTGCAACCTCGTTTGGAGTTGTTTCTGTTGTTTTCGAATCTGATTCTCACGTCCAAACAGGCCCAAGAGAAATCTGATTCCCACGTCTAAACAGCCCAGAAGCCAAACCTAGCAAGGGACCAAATCACAAGCGGCAGTGCTAGTGCCCTGACGCCCATGCCGGCGACTGCACTCCATCTCCCCCCGGGCACCTGCATCCCGCGACCGCCTACGCGGGGCCCACGCCGCTCAACTGCACGTGGGGAGTCCCCGCTCATGCTCGCGCCCCCTCTACTTCTCACGTGCATGCATGCGGCCAGCAGGTGACTATAGCAGGTGGCTACGCCAACATCCAGAAGATGTGGAGGGGTGACGGATGCCCAGCTGGCGCCAGGAGGAGGAGGAGACACCGAGGCGAAGGTGAGGCAGCAGAGAAGCGAGGACAAAGATGCAACACTCAATCTATTTCTGAAACATCCGAATACAACACTTGCAACATATGTCTAGCTGCATCAATAGATCTACTTTTGAAACATCCAAATGAAACACTTGAACATACGTGCAAAACAGCCGAAACAATCAAAACATGCATATGAAACACTTGCAAAAACACCTAAAAACACTTTATATGTGTGAAAACATATGCAACATCTAGATGAAACACTTGCAAACATACGTCTGGAAAACGAGATAAAACATTTGGAACGTAAACTTGAAACATACGTGTATAGCCACTGCAACATGTTCAACATTTCGATCTACTTTTACAACATCAAGATGAAACACTTGCAACATCCAGATGAAACATCTGAAACTCTTGAAACATACTCTTGCAACATGGGCTTTGCTTAAACGAGTGGAGGCACACCAGCACGGAGGCCAACGGCGGTGCATGTACCGGCAGCGGCACGGGCAACTCGCCGACGGGTGTGGCGTCACACGAATCTCGTCCCCCTCGTATGCTTGCTGGAGCATCTGTCGTGGAGGTTCGCCGGCTCGGTGGAGGCAGTAGCGGCGAGCGGGCCGGCCGCGGCGTGGAGGCAGCGCGGTGGAGGCAGGCGAGACAAATTGGGCCGGTGGGAAATGTGGCACGAATGAGGCTGCTGGGGATGGGGATGGGGCGGGGGTGCGGCGGCGAGGCGAGGCGAGTGGAGTGGGTGGATGGGCGCGGCGACGCAGGGAGAAAATAACGCAGCGAGCGTCATGCGCGCGGACGGGACGAGTGGATAGGGTCACTGGACGAGCGACGCGTGCAGAAGTGAGCGGAGGGATTTCGTCCGTTCGTCCGGACTTACCTTCCCGACCTCTCCAGTGCTCCTCTGGGTCAGAGGATCGGTGGAAGTACGTTTGTGAGTCCCCAAGTCCTCACCCACCCGGCCACTTACCAGTCATCACCACCTCGCGGCAGGAGCAGTGTGTCTCGTCTGCAGTGCAGGGAGTGCAGACTACAGAGGGAGAGGGCATGGCGCCGCCGCTCGTCAGCAGCTCAACCGTACTCCGATGTCTATGGGCGCACAACATGCTGCCACGGCTGCTCGTCTTCTTGCTCGCCGCCGTCATCGTCGTGCCAAGGAGTGCCTATGCGATCACCTGGCGTGACTTGGGTTCGTCTTCGGCGCAGGGTCCTCGGCTTTCCAGGTACCCCCACCCGTGGTCCTCCGAGTAAGATCTAGCGTGATACTACAGTTCCATGAGATTTCGTTACTCCTCCAGATTCGCATACATGAAATCCACAATTCACTAAGACAAAATATAGAAAAGAAATACAGTGCACGTGCTATTTCTATCCCTTTTTTTTTGAGGGAACAGGAGAGGCTCGGGAGTCTCTACTAAAAATTTATTAAAACAACCAAAAAGGTTACACAGGATTAAAAAAACACGAAGAAAAAACAGGATGGGAGGGGATGTTTCTGTCCTTTTCTTTTGCTTTTGCCGTAGTATGGTATTAAAAAAAAAGAATGAGCCGAGTAGTTATTATATTACTCATAAAAAATTGTTTACTTCCTAGACTTTGGTGTGAAGAGCTCAATCATTCTGAATACCTTAGGTGGAAGGGGCAGCTGCAGAGGATGGGAGAACACCCAGCATTTGGGACACCTTCACCCATGAAGGTGCATCGATCCAGATGATTTCTTCAGATAACTACTACTACTAACACACTTCCCACCTTTTCGAAGAACTGCTAGGTTTGTGTTGGTCTTCAAGTCGTGCTCACAGCTTGAAGGTTTTGAAATTTGTCTGTGATGATAGGTTTTTTGTACGACGGGTCCACTGCAGATATTTCAGCAGATCAGTATCACCATTACAAGGTCCGTATACTATAGTGCTTTCAATTGTACAGTAGGCAGTAGCAGGTTCAGAGTTCTGATGAAAATATGCTAGCGTAACCTCAAAGGGAAGCATCAAAATTATTCTGTTGTCAGGAAGATGTGAAGCTTATGCATGAGATGGGTTTAGATGCCTACAGATTCTCCATTGCTTGGCCAAGGCTGATTCCAGGTAGGTAATACTATAGTAGTAAGTTTTTTTTATTTATTTTTACATAAAAATGCAATTCTGAATCTGAATGTATGTATTCTAAAAATTTGTGATGTCGTTGTGTAGATGGAAGAGGAAAGATCAATCCAAAAGGCTTGGAATACTACAACAATCTCATAGACGAACTGATACTGCACGGTAAGACCATGCAACTGTTACTTTGTCATACTAAGACTGAAGTACTGACCCATGAGCCCCAACATTATTATTGACTTGTTGTCCTATTACTTCTTATATTTTTCCCTGGAAAAAAATCGACATGCTGTCCTCTGATTCCTGAACAAACTGGCTCCATTCTCCTGTCATGTCTGTAGGGATTCAACCTCATGCCACCATCTACCATTTCGATCTTCCTCAGGTCCTTCAGGATGAATACAGTGGACTTCTCAGCCCCAGATTCATGTGAGTGCCGAGCGAGAAGCCTGCTTCTACCATGTGTACATATATAGAGCTGAAAGTTGCTTCTCTTCTACCATGTGTTGTAGAGAAGATTACCTCGCTTTTGCAGAAATCTGCTTCAGGAGCTTCGGGGACAGGGTGAAGCACTGGGTCACCGTGAACAAGCCCAACATAGAGCCCATCGGCGCCTTCGACACGGGCACTGAGCCCCCTCGGCGGTGCTCCTACCCCTTCGGCGAGAACTGCACTGGCGGGAACTCGTCGACGGAGCCGTACATTGCCGCGCACCACCTCCTCCTTGCACACGCCGCTGCAGTGTCCTTGTACAAAGTACAAGGTCTCTCTTCGAGAAACTCCTCAATCAATCTCTGTTTGTTTCATTGAAATTTGGCTTATGCTGACTTGTTGTGAGAGAAAAACAATATTCGTTCGCTGAAAAATACTGCTGAAGTAGTGAAAGTGCAATTAAGCCCTAATTGTGGGTTTTGGTGATAATGACCATGCAATTAGAGAACTAATGAGATTTATTGAGATGACAAGCAGGGAATTTGATGAGGACATCACATGCCTGGATACAACCATATTAGCAACTTTTGATTCACAGGTGAAACAATCCTTTACTATGATTGTATTTGATACATTTGATGAATTGATGCTGCACCATGATGTGTGTTCATTGTCATTTTTAGAAATACATACATGGATCAAAAAGAGTGTTGAAGACACATGGAAGGCATGGAGGACCAAAGAAGTTGATTGGGGGCCAAGTACAAGTATTCCCAACGTCCTCGACCAGGACCCCACATCACTTTTGGCACAAGGAAAGAAAGAGATCAAATCCAACATGTTTTGGGGCTGGATTCGGACTGCAACACTGCACCAACTTGCGACGGCCGCCACAACCTCATCCGGACTCCATTTTGGGCGTTCAAGTACTCCATGGAATCCTTATGAAGTCTATTTTCATATGGATTCAGACTCATGTCTATATCTTGCCTGAGGCATCCGTAATGATCAAATTACTACCGAGAGTTTTTTCTATCAAAGATGTTGCGTCGCCTTATTTTGTCCCAATGGGCCTTCTATCAAGTCGGGTCCAATAAGGACGTGTCCTAGGGTTGGAGCACGACACCAGGACCCCCTGGTCGTCCTCCTAGGTATTAATAAGGATTAGAGCCGCCACAAATAGATTGGGTTTTGTTTTGTTGAAAGTTTAGCCATTGCTACTTCCTTGTAGACGCGTGTGTTGACTAGACCATCCGTTCTACTTGATTTGGAACCCCAACTTTATGAGTTCAGATTGGTTTTTCATCTCCATATTTGTAATTGAGTTGCTTGTTCTACTTGTTCTTGCTTGTTCCTCGATTGCTTGTAGGAATTACACTAGTGGTTTGGTTGATCGTGCTCCACAAGATCGCGACGACCATTGGAGGTGGTGTATTGGTTGCTAAGGCGTAGCATCCTTGGATGGTTGTAGTCGGGCCATGAACGTCATCTCCATCCCCAAATCGAGTTATCCTCCTTCTTTCATCGAAAGATCGGGATTCACCCTAGCGGGTTCATATCAGTTGGTATCAGAGCAAGGTTTATCGGTGAGAGACTTCAAATCTTTCGCTGTTTTTAATTTTTCCTATAGTCCAGAAAAGCCAAAAAAAGTAGATTAGTTTACCCACAATCCTATAAACCCTTTGAGCCTTTGCTACCACTGCTTAGTTAGGGCTTGTTGAGTTTTTGGTTGCATCGGTTGTGTCGAGTTGCTGGTCTTAGTGTCTATTCCTTTAGAGTTTTGAGTTCTATCACGTTTTGGTCACCACGAGATCCACCTTCTCTCATCGAAAGATCAGGATTCAACCCTAGCGGGTTCATATCAGAATTCATGTTTGAGGATGCTACATGAAATAGAGGAGCCCCAATTACAAATGTAGATGGCTTTAAACTCAAAGGAGGTTTAAATTCTTTTATATTTTAAATTTGAGTATAGCAAAAGCCATACTATAAAGGGGGACACAATGTTTAAGCTAATATATGCTACCAAGTGCTTAAACATACACATGCATCCTCAAATTCACAGCCAAGATAGTCTACACTTCACTCTTACCCTCGTTGTCTTGCGTGGTGCGGCACTGCCGCACTTGAGCCGCAGCACTGCCGCAACTAAGTGACCGTTGGGGGTATTTATACCCTTCCCCTTCCTCCCCAACGGCTCTCTACCTCTTCTTCCTCACTTCAGATTGTCCAAAACAGAAAGGAGACTCTCTCTCACCCTCCATTAGTGACCTTGAGCCCTCAAGCAAACACATTGATTTCTCCATCAATCCTTGAGAGAAAATGGTCCAAAACTCGATTAGAGAGCATCTCCATTGATTCCTCAACTCAAAAGAGCACTTGGTTCACGTTTTGGTCAGCGGTTGTGTTTGTTACTCTTAGAACTTGGCTCTAAGCCAGTAAGAGCGTCGCCCGTGGAGCTTGCCACCTTGTGTGGCAGCCTGGGAGGTTTGTAACCATCTCTTAAAGTTATTAAACTCACCCCTCATCTCAAGAGTTAAGTCTCTTGACTTGAGAACGAGGAAGGGTTGGAAAACCCTATCGATGTTTTACCACCGATAGCCTGTCACGGGGTTACCCGGGACAGTATGTTTGGGCTTCAGCGTATGCGGAACTCGACGGTGAACGCAAGAGACGGTCGATTTATCCTGGTTCGGGCCCTTGATCGTTGATCAAGTAATAGCCCTACGTCCAGTCAGCGTTAGCCTTTGCGTTGGATTGATTGTGTGTTGTTGTGTTGCATCGTCCTCTCTCTAGGAACCCTGCCCTCCGTTATATAGTTAGGAGGTCAGAATCCTAATTGGTTTACAATGAGAGTTCCTAGTAGGATTACAGAATAATACTACTACTAAGATTACATGGGGAGAATCCTAATTAGACTAGATCTTCTCTCTTCCTTGCGGGGTATCCCGTGGGTCCCGCACCGACGAGCCCCCGAGCACTTCATGGTTGAGCTCTGGAAGCCTCGTCTTGTTCTTTCAGGTCCTGCCGAGCAGGAACAAGCGTCGTCCGAGTGCTTTCTTGAGCAAAACCGTATAGCGCTTTTTGAGATCTTCGCGTGGTGTGTACCTTTTTTGAAGAAAAAAGTACTCCCCTTTGGGTGTACACTCAGTGAGTGTAGCCCCCGTACTACTTTGGGTAATTCTTCAATCCATTTTGATCCATACTCTGCTAGCTCTTCATACAGTCTTGGTTTCAATCCGGCTAGTATGAGTCCATTGGCCCTTTCTACCTGTCCGTTGGCTTTTGGATGTGCGACTGATGCGTAATCTATGCCGAAGCCACAATCATGTGCCCAACTTTTGAATTCTGTAGCTATGAAGGGAGAACCTAAATCTGTGATGATACGATTGGGCATGCCGAAGCGGTGCATAATATCTTGGATGAACTCGACTGCTTTGGCTGCGCTGTATTTTGTGAGTAGTTTGTATTTGATCCACTTGGTGAACTTGTCAATTGCTACGAAGATGTACTCGAAACTGCCCTTTGCTTTCTTGACAGGTCCTACTTGATCCAGCCCCCAGCAGGAGAAAGGCCAAGCGGGTGGGATGCAGATGAGATTATGAGCTAGCACATGAGCTTGTCTTGCGAACATTTGACAACCTTTGCATTTTCTGACAAGTTCTTCTGTGTCTTTCAGAGCTATTGGCTAGTAGAATTCGGTGCGGAAAGCTTTGCCGACTAGTGTTCTTGAAGCAACATGATTTCCGCAGCAACCTGAGTGTATTTCGTCTAAGATCTCTTTGCCTTCTTCAAACGAGACACATTTTAGGAGTACTCCTAACGATGCAGCTCTTCTATAGAGCTTGTCCCCCACTAGGACGTAGTTTTTCCTTCTACGAACAACTCAGGTAGCTTCCTCTTTATCTGCTGGCAACTTATTCTCTTTGATATAATCAATAAAAGCCTGTGTCCATGAAGTGTTGATTACTAGAATCTGGTTGCCTTTGGCTGTGAGTTCTGGGGTTGTCTCACCGGGTTGTTTGATAGAAGGAGCTGATAACTCCTCTATGAATACGCCAGGTGGGACCTTTGCCCTGTCTGATCCGAGCTTGGCGAGGACATCTGCTGCAATATTGGAATCGCGCAGGACATGTAGAATTTCTAATCCTTGGAAATGTTTTTCAAGTTTTCGGATTTCAGCACAGTAAGCACCCATGTTTTCTTTGGTGCAGTACCAATCTTTGTTGACTTGGTTGATGACTACTGCTGAATTGCCGTATACGAGTAATCGCTTGATTCCGAGGGTAATTGCCACTCGTAGCCCATAGATGAGAGCTTCATACTCTGCTTCATTGTTAGTAGCTTGCCATAATATCTGAAGGACATACTTGAGTTGTTTTCCGTCTAGAGAAATTAGGAGAACGCCCGCACCGGCTCCGCCTAGCTTGAGTGATCCATCAAAGTACATCTTCCAGTGGTTAAGGATTGTATTTGACATAGGTTGTTGAATCTCTGTCCACTCGGCAATAAAATCGGCAAGGGCTTGAGATTTAATTGCTTTCCGTGGGGTAAAATCGATGTTGAGAGCACCGAGTTCAACCGCCCACTTAGATATGCGCCCTGTTGCGTCTCTGTTGTGTAAGATGTCTCTAAGTGGGAAATCTGTCACCACGGTAATCTTGTGGCTTTCAAAATAGTGGCAAAGCTTGCGTGAAGTGACCAGTAGGGCGTAGAGTAGTTTTTGCACATGCGGGTACCAAATTTTTTATTCTGACAATACTTCACTGATGTAGTATACTGGGTGTTGTACTTTATACACGCACCCTTCTTCTTCTCTTTCTACTACTATCGCCATGCTGACCACAGTAGAAGTTGCCGCAATGTACAACATCATGTCTTCATTTTTCTTTGGAGGCGTGAGAACTGGTGAGGAGGTGAGGTATGCCTTAAGTTTCTTGAAAGCTTCATTGGCTTCTTCCGTCCACTCAAACTTGTCTGTCTTCTTTAGTAGTTTAAAGAAAGGTAACTCTTTTTTGCCGAGCCTTAAAATGAAACGATTGAGTGCCACCATGCAGCCTATTAGTTTTTGCACATCTTTGACGCTTCGAGGTGGGCCCATCTCTGTTATGGCTCGAATTTGCTTGGCGCTTGCTTTGATTCCGCGATGACTTACCAAGAATCCGAGTAGTTGTCCTGAAGAAACTCTGAATATACACTTGTTTGGGTTCAATTTCCACCTCCACCTTTTTAGGTTCTCGAAGGTTTGTTTTAAGTCTTCAATCAGTGTATCCGGGTTCTTTGTTTTTACAACCACGTCATCCATGTACACTTCTACGTTTTCG